GCTAAAACCCCGAAATGTCAATATTTAAGGAGTTATGGCCATTTTAAAGTATGCTATTTTTCCTCTTTTAAAAAGTGATCACAAATAATAGCTAAAAACCCCGAAATGTCAATATTTAAGGAGTTATGGCCATTTTAAAGTATGCTATTTTTCCTCTTTTAAAAAGTGATCACAAATAATAGCTAAAAACCCCGAAATGTCAATATTTAAGGAGTTATGGCCATTTTAAAGTATGCTATTTTTCCTCTTTAAAAAGTGATCACAAATAATAGCTAAAAACCCCGAAATGTCAATATTTAGGGAGTTATGGCCATTTTAAAGTATGCTATTTTTCCTCTTTTAAAAAGTGATCACAAATAACAGCTAAAAACCCCGAAATGTCAATATTTAAGGAGTTATGGCCATTTTAAAGTATGCTATTTTTCCTCTTTTAAAAAGTGATCACAAATAACAGCTAAAACCCCGAAATGTCAATATTTAAGGAGTTATGGCCATTTTAAAGTATGCTATTTTTCCTGTTTTAAAAAGTGATCACAAATAATAGCTAAAAACCCCGAAATGTCAATATTTAAGGAGTTATGGCCATTTTAAAGTATGCTATTTTTCCTCTTTTAAAAAGTGATCACAAATAACAGCTAAAAACCCCGAAATGTCAATATTTAGGGAGTTATGGCCATTTTAAAGTATGCTATTTTTCCTCTTTTAAAAAGTGATCACAAATAACAGCTAAAACCCCGAAATGTCAATATTTAAGGAGTTATGGCCATTTTAAAGTATGCTATTTTTCCTGTTTTAAAAAGTGATCACAAATAATAGCTAAAAACCCCGAAATGTCAATATTAAGGAGTTATGGCCATTTTAAAGTATGCTATTTTTCCTCTTTTAAAAAGTGATCACAAATAACAGCTAAAAACCCCGAAATGTCAATATTTAAGGGAGTTATGGCCATTTTAAAGTATGCTATTTTTCCTCTTTTAAAAAGTGATCACAAATAACAGCTAAAAACCCCGAAATGTCAATATTTAAGGAGTTATGGCCATTTTAAAGTATGCTATTTTTCCTCTTTTAAAAAGTGATCACAAATAATAGCTAAAAACCCCGAAATGTCAATATTTAAGGAGTTATGGCCATTTTAAAGTATGCTATTTTTCCTCTTTTAAAAAGTGATCACAAATAATAGCTAAAAACCCCGAAATGTCAATATTTAAGGAGTTATGGCCATTTTAAAGTATGCTATTTTTCCTCTTTTAAAAAGTGATCACAAATAACAGCTAAAAACCCCGAAATGTCAATATTTAGGGAGTTATGGCCATTTAAAGTATGCTATTTTTCCTCTTTTAAAAAGTGATCACAAATAACAGCTAAAAACCCCGAAATGTCAATATTTAAGGAGTTATGGCCATTTTAAAGTATGCTATTTTTCCTGTTTTAAAAAGTGATCACAAATAACAGCTAAAAACCCCGAAATGTCAATATTTAAGGAGTTATGGCCATTTTAAAGTATGCTATTTTTCCTGTTTTAAAAAGTGATCACAAATAATAGCTAAAAACCCCGAAATGTCAATATTTAAGGAGTTATGGCCATTTTAAAGTATGCTATTTTTCCTGTTTAAAAAGTGATCACAAATAATAGCTAGAAACCCCGAAATGTCAATATTTAAGGAGTTATGGCCATTTTAAAGTATGCTATTTTTCCTCTTTTAAAAAGTGATCACAAATAATAGCTAAAAACCCCGAAATGTCAATATTTAAGGAGTTATGGCCATTTTAAAGTATGCTATTTTTCCTCTTTTAAAAAGTGATCACAAATAATAGCTAAAAACCCCGAAATGTCAATATTTAAGGAGTTATGGCCATTTTAAAGTATGCTATTTTTCCTCTTTTAAAAAGTGATCACAAATAACAGCTAAAAACCCCGAAATGTCAATATTTAGGGAGTTATGGCCATTTTAAAGTATGCTATTTTTCCTCTTTTAAAAAGTGATCACAAATAACAGCTAAAAACCCCGAAATGTCAATATTTAAGGAGTTATGGCCATTTTAAAGTATGCTATTTTTCCTCTTTTAAAAAGTGATCACAAATAATAGCTAAAAACCCCGAAATGTCAATATTTAAGGAGTTATGGCCATTTTAAAGTATGCTATTTTTCCTCTTTTAAAAGTGATCACAAATAATAGCTAAAAACCCCGAAATGTCAATATTTAAGGAGTTATGGCCATTTTAAAGTATGCTATTTTTCCTCTTTTAAAAAGTGATCACAAATAACAGCTAAAAACCCCGAAATGTCAATATTTAGGGAGTTATGGCCATTTTAAAGTATGCTATTTTTCCTCTTTTAAAAAGTGATCACAAATAACAGCTAAAAACCCCGAAATGTCAATATTTAAGGAGTTATGGCCATTTTAAAGTATGCTATTTTTCCTGTTTAAAAAGTGATCACAAATAACAGCTAAAAACCCCGAAATGTCAATATTTAAGGAGTTATGGCCATTTTAAAGTATGCTATTTTTCCTGTTTTAAAAAGTGATCACAAATAATAGCTAAAAACCCCGAAATGTCAATATTTAGGAGTTATGGCCATTTTAAAGTATGCTATTTTTCCTCTTTTAAAAAGTGATCACAAATAACAGCTAAAACCCCGAAATGTCAATATTTAGGGAGTTATGGCCATTTTAAAGTATGCTATTTTTCCTCTTTTAAAAAGTGATCACAAATAATAGCTAAAAACCCCGAAATGTCAATATTTAAGGAGTTATGGCCATTTTAAAGTATGCTATTTTTCCTGTTTTAAAAAGTGATCACAAATAATAGCTAAAAACCCCGAAATGTCAATATTTAAGGAGTTATGGCCATTTTAAAGTATGCTATTTTTCCTCTTTTAAAAAGTGATCACAAATAACAACTAAAAACCCCGAAATGTCAATATTAAGGAGTTATGGCCATTTTAAAGTATGCTATTTTTCCTCTTTTAAAAAGTGATCACAAATAATAGCTAAAAACCCCGAAATGTCAATATTTAAGGAGTTATGGCCATTTTAAAGTATGCTATTTTTCCTATCTAAAAAAGTGATCACAAATAATAGCTAAAAACCCCGAAATGTCAATATTTAAGGAGTTATGGCCATTTTAAAGTATGCTATTTTTCCTCTTTTAAAAAGTGATCACAAATAACAACTAAAAACCCCGAAATGTCAATATAAAGGAGTTATGGCCATTTTAAAGTATGCTATTTTTCCTCTTTTAAAAAGTGATCACAATAACAGCTAAAAACCCCGAAATGTCAATATTTAAGGAGTTATGGCCATTTTAAAGTATGCTATTTTTCCTCTTTTAAAAAGTGATCACAAATAACAGCTAAAAACCCCGAAATGTCAATATTTAGGGAGTTATGGCCATTTTAAAGTATGCTATTTTTCCTCTTTTAAAAAGTGATCACAAATAATAGCTAAAAACCCCGAAATGTCAATATTTAAGGAGTTATGGCCATTTTAAAGTATGATATTTTTCCTGTTTTAAAAAGTGATCACAAATAATAGCTAGAAACCCCGAAATGTCAATATTTAAGGAGTTAACGGCCATTTTAAAGTATGCTATTTTTCCTCTTTTAAAAAGTGATCACAAATAACAGCTAAAAACCCCGAAATGTCAATATTTAAGGAGTTATGGCCATTTTAAAGTATGCTATTTTTCCTGTTTTAAAAAGTGATCACAAATAACAGCTAAAAACCCCGAAATGTCAATATTTAAGGAGTTATGGCCATTTTAAAGTATGCTATTTTTCCTGTTTTAAAAAGTGATCACAAATAATAGCTAAAAACCCCGAAATGTCAATATTTAAGGAGTTATGGCCATTTTAAAGTATGCTATTTTTCCTCTTTTAAAAAGTGATCACAAATAATAGCTAAAAACCCCGAAATGTCAATATTAAGGAGTTATGGCCATTTTAAAGTATGCTATTTTTCCTCTTTTAAAAAGTGATCACAAATAATAGCTAAAAACCCCGAAATGTCAATATTTAAGGAGTTATGGCCATTTTAAAGTATGCTATTTTTCCTCTTTTAAAAAGTGATCACAAATAACAGCTAAAACCCCGAAATGTCAATATTAAGGAGTTATGGCCATTTTAAAGTATGCTATTTTTCCTCTTTTAAAAAGTGATCACAAATAATAGCTAAAAACCCCGAAATGTCAATATTAAGGAGTTATGGCCATTTTAAAGTATGCTTTTTTTCCTCTTTTAAAAAGTGATCGCAAATAATAGCTAAAAACCCCGAAATGTCAATATTTAAGGAGTTATGGCCATTTTAAATATTCAGAGAAAATCTGTCATAGCATTGCTTAAAATTTCCCTACATCGTTAATTCTCCTGTTCGGATTACAAATATTTTCATAAATAAATGGGAATTTTCGAATCCTCCCCACCACCACTATCGAAAGTGATCTCCAATTAGCGGCGCCCAAGTGACATATGCGATTTCAATTTGTCGCATATGTTAAGTACAAATTGTTTTCTTTTCCCACAAAAACTCCTTGAGATTATGTTTTTTTTTTCCTAGAATCGAGAATTATTTCCCAGTGTTTCCAGCGTTTCCATAAAATAAATCAAACTCATACCGATGGCAAAAAATCCCGCCATTAATGAAAGAAAACCGAAAAAAAGAAATCTTGAAGTCTAAGCAAATATTGCAACATTGTCACATTGCCATGAAAATATCTCAAGATTTATTTGCTCTGTGTTGTTGCTTCGGAATCCTGTTGTTACATTGTTTGCCGAGCATTTGCCTGTGGCTTATATCGTGAACGCGTTTTTTTTTTCTTCTTGCCTCAGCATCCTATTTTCGGCTTATTTATTTTTGGGCTCATTTTCTTGCCACCACAACGCAGTGGGTGGGTGTTGGAGGGATAAACTTTTTTTCTTGTTATTTCTGTGTTGAAATTTCATTATTGCTTTGTTCCTCTGTTCCTCCTTCATCTCCTTTGCTGTTGTCTCTATTTTCAGAGGGTATCATGTTTTATACGTCGATATTTTTGATTGCCATCATTTTCTTTCGCATTGCTGGTAAATGGCCAGATTTAATGCAACAATGGCAACAAGTGGAGAGGGCACTGCCGCCACAGGCCTCGGAAAGGGAACGCTCATGGCTATCGCATCGCATAAAGATGGTAATGCTGGTGGCGGTCACTTGTTCCCTGGGTAAGTTAACAACAATAAAAGAAACTAAGGGGTGGGTGGGGGAGAGAGAAAAGGATGTCCATTCCGATTTGTGGGTGGGGTCACTTCATGTCTTACTGCGAGATTTATTTTGCAATAAAATTTAGAAATGGAAGGTTTTTGTATGGCAATTTCAGGGGATTTTCGATCCGGTTGCGTGTTGAATGCTGCTAATTTTAGAAAAATATTTATGGTCAGTGAATATTTCTGGGTCTGTGAAGGTTAAAACATTTAAAGGGTTGGAGCACTAGGGTGATAGAGGAAAAAGAGTGTTTGAACAAGAATTAAGAAGACTTAGAATAGAGGCCTTCTATAGCATGGCAGACCTAGAGGTATTTTAAAAATTTTAGAAGACTTAGGGGTCTTCTATAGAGCATAGAAGATCTAGGGGTCTTCTGTGGAGCCTAGAATACCTATGGGTCTTCCATGGAGCCTAGAAGACCTAAAGGTCTTCCGTGGAGCCTAGAAGACCTAGAGGTCTTCTGTGGAGCCTAGAAGACCTAGAGGTCTTCTGTGGAGCATATGGATCCTAGGGGTCTTCTGTGGAGCCTAGAAGACTTACAGGTCTTCTAGGGAGTCCAGAATATCTACAGGTCTTCTAGGGAGTCCAGAATACCTACAGGTCTTCTAGGGAGTCCAGAAGACCTGCAGGTCTTCTAGAGAGTCCAGAAGACATAGAGGTCTTCTAGAGAGTCCAGAAGACCTAGAGGTCTTCTAGAGAGTCCAGAAGACCTAGAGGTCTTCTAGAGAGTCCAGAAGACCTAGGGGTCTTCTAGAGTGTCCACAAGACCTAGAGGTTTTCTAGGGAGTCTAGAAGACCTAGAAGTCTTCTAAAAGGTCTAAAAGTCCGCTAGGTTTTCCATGGAGTATTGAAAGCTAGAGGTATTCAAAACCTAGAGGTTTTCTATGGTGTCTAGAAGACCTGGAGTTCTTCTATGGTGTCTAGAAGACCTGGAGGTCTTCTGTTGTGTCTAGAAGACCTGGAGGTCTTCTATGGTGTTTAGAAGACCTGAAGGTCTTCTGTGGTGTCTAGAAGACCTGGAGGTCTTCTATGGTGTCTGGAATACCTGGAGGTCTTCTATGGTGTCTGGAAGACCTGGAGGTCTTCTATGGTGTCTGGAAGACCTGGAGGTCTTCTATGGTGTCTAGAAGACCTGGAGGTCTTCTATGGTGTCTAGAAGACCTGGAGGTCTTCTATGGTGTCTATGGAAGACCTGAAAGACTTCTCTGGAGGTTTTCTATGGATTATAGAAGATTTGGAGGTCTAGAAGACCTGTAGGTCTTCTATGGTGTCTAGAAGACCTGTAGGTCTTCTATGGTGTCTAGAAGACCTTCTATGGTGTCTAGAAGACCTGTAGGCCTTCTATGGTGTCTAGAAGACCTGTAGGTCTTCTATGGTTTCTAGAAGACCTGGATGTCTTCTCTGAATTAATGAAGACCTGGAAGACTTCTCTGGAGGTTTTCTATGGATTATAGAAGATTTGGAGGTCGTCTACGGATTATAGAAGACATGGAGGTCTTCTATGGGTTATAGAAGACCTAGAGGTTTTCCATGGGGTATAGAAGACCTATATAATGCAGAAATTCTCCTTACCTTTCTTCTCTCTCTCTCTCACCCCCTCTCTCTCTCTTTTTTTTCTCTCATTTTTATATATTCATTTTTTTGTAATTATCTTTTTATTTCCTTTTTAATAGCGGAACATATTCTCAGCATGCTGACCATTATCTATTATGTCAATCGCTGTCCCCGCTTCCAGAATCAGCCGTTGAATAGCTTTCTCTTTACGAATTTCAGCCAATTCTTTTATTTCTTTGAATACACCACCTTTGCGGGCATTTGCGGCAAGGTCATCAATATCCTGTCGACATTTGCCTGGAGTTTCAACGATGTCTTTGTGATGTGTCTCTGTGTGTCCATGACGGCCAAGTTTCGACAGTTAAATGATTACATGGCGAAATATTCGAAAAAGGTTTGAAGAAAAAAGAGTCCTGAGTTAAACAAAAACATATTTCAAATGTCTTTTGGGTTGCGTTTTTTTTTTTTGTTTTGTTTCTTTTTTGTTTGTTTTATTAACTAATAGCATTTTGTATTGACCTTTTTTTGTCTTCTCCACGAATTCGGCAGCCCACAACTCGTTCATTTTGGATTGAGAGACGCAAGACCTATCGGATGCTCTGTCATTTGTGCGAAGCTGTGGATGACACCATTGCTGTGGCGACCCTTTTGTGTCTGACAAATAATCTATATTTTATTTGTAATAAAATTCTAAAAAGTTTACAGTAAGTTTATTTTGTTCAAAAACACATACACATACATACCCAAACACAAATAACTCTTTCGGTATTAGGGGTATGAAAAAATACAAATCGGAAAAAGGTGTGATTTTTTTTTAAATCCACGAATTTTGGCCCCTGTGGTCCTTGTAAAAATACTCTTTAAGCAATTTTTGTGGCTCCAACAGATCTATGGTCCTTATTAGTCCTCAAACAAATATTGTTTAAAAATTGTCCTTGAAAAATATTATTTAAACAATTTTTGTTGCTCTTATAGTCCAAAGGTCCTTATTAGTCCTTGAAAAAGTATTCCTTAAATGCAGGCTGATTTGGTCCTTGAAAAAATATTTTTTTAAGAACATTTTTTCAAGGACTAATAAGGACCTTTGGACTATAACAGCCACAAAAATTGTTTTAATAATATTTTTCAAGGACCATAGGAACCGCAATTCCTGGATTTTCCTTCTCCTTGAAAAATATTTTTTTTTTAATTTTTTTAAATATTTTTTCAAGGACCAAATCAGCTGCATTTTTTTGAGAATATTTTTTCAAGGACTAATAAGGACCTTTGGACTATAACAGCCACAAAAATTGTTTTAATAATATTTTTCAAGGACCATAGGAACCGCAATTCCTGGATTTTCCTTGTCCTTGATAAAATATGTTTTTTTAATTTTTTTAAATATATTTTCAAGGACCAAATCAGCTGCATTTTTTTAAGAATATACTTTCAAGGACTAATAAGGACCTTTAGATTAGTTTATAATATAACATTATTATAATATTTATATTTTTTTTAAATTTTTTAAAATATTTTTTCAAAGACCAAATCAGCTGATTTTTTTTAAGAAAATTTTTTCAAGGACTAATAAGGACCTTTGGCCTATAACAGCCACAAAAATTGTTTTAATAATATTTTTCAAGGACCATAGGAACCGCAATTCCTGGATTTTCCTTGTCCTTGATAAAATATGTTTTTTTAATTTTTTTAAATATATTTTCAAGGACCAAATCAGCTGCATTTTTTTTAAGAATATATTTTCAAGGACTAATAAGGACCTTTAGACTACAACAGCCACAAAATTGTTTTAATAATATTTTTCAAGGACCATAGGAACCGCAATTCCTGGATTTTCCTTGTCCTTGAAAAAATATTTTTTTTAAATTTTTTTAAATATATTTTCAAGGACCAAATCAGCTGCATTTTTTTAAGAATGTATTTTCAAGGACTAATTGGGACCTTTAGACTACAACAGCCACAAAAATTGTTTTAATAATATTTTCAAAGACCATAGGAACCGCAATTCCTGGATTTTCCTTCTCCTTGAAAAAATATTTTTTTTAAATATATTTTTTTAAAATATTTTTTCAAGGACCAAATCAGCTGCATTTTTTTAAGAATATTTTTTCCTTTGGACTATAACAGCCACAAAAATTGTTTTAATAATATTTTTCAAGGACCATAGGAACCGCAATTCCTGGATTTTCCTTGTCCTTGATAAAATATTTTTTTTTAATTTTTTTAAATATATTTTCAAGGACCAAATCAGCTGCATTTTTTTTTAAGAATATATTTTCAAGGACTAATAAGGACCTTTAGACTACAACAGCCACAAAAATTGTTTTAATAATATTTTTCAAGGACCATAGGAACCGCAATTCCTGGATTTTCCTTCTTCTTGAAAAAATATTTTTTTTAAATATATTTTTTTAAAATATTTTTTCAAGGACCAAATCAGCTGCATTTTTTTAAGAATATTTTTTCCTTTGGACTATAACAGCCACAAAAATTGTTTTAATAATATTTTTCAAGGACCATAGGAACCGCAATTCCTGGATTTTCCTTGTCCTTGAAAAAAATATTTTTTTTTAAATATTTCTTTTTTTATTTTTTTTTAAATATTTTTTCAAGGACCAAATCAGCTGCATTTTTTTTAAGAATATTTTTTCAAGGACTAATAAAGACCTTTGGACTATAACAGCCACAAAAATTGTTTTAATAATATTTTTCAAGGACCATAGGAACCGCAATTCCTGGATTTTCCTTGTCCTTGAAAAAAATATTTTTTTTTTAAATATTTCTTTTTTTATTTTTTTTTAAATATTTTTTCAAGGACCAAATCAGCTGCATTTTTTTAAGAATATTTTTTCAAGGACTAATAAGGACCTTTGGACTATAACAGCCACAAAAATTGTTTTCATAATATTTTTCAAGGACTATAGGAACCGCAATTCCTGGATTTTCCTTGCCCTTGAAAAAATATTTTTTTTGAATTTTTTAAAATATTTTTTCAAGGACCAAATCAGCTGCATTTTTTTAAGAATATTTTTTCAAGGACTAATAAGGACCTTTCGACTATAACAGCCACAAAAATTGTTTTCATAATATTTTTCAAGGACCATAGGAACCACAATATCTGGATTTTAGGGATATTTTTTCCAGTACTTACACCCAATATAATCGTATCTCCCTTTTTTTTCTCAGTTGTCCCACATTATAGGCCTTTCTCATTTTCGAGGAGATTTTGCCATTGTTTTTAAATAAAAAAAAATCTTTTAGACATTTCAATTTATTTATTCCCTTCTTTTTTTCCTTTCCCTTGTCTCTTATTTCCCACCACGCACTGTGATCAACGATAACGACAACTGCCACAACCTAAATTCCAAACGACTTCGGCAACACCCATGGCTGGCGGATGGCTATTCCAAAATCAAACAATCTCGAAAAAAAAAAAAAAACAAAAGAAAGAAGCCATCCATCGCCCACACTCTCTACTTTTGGTATTCATTGATTTTTGTGATATTTCGCACCTTTTTGTTTGCCCTGTTTGCGGCAGCCGTTCATGATGAATCGAAACGTCCTCTGGTCATATTTCGTAATGTCAAAAGGGAATATTGGTGTTCGGAGGTAAGTCATAAAAGCGACAGCAACAAAACAACAACAATAATATATTGTAAGCAACAGTTAAATGGTATCTGGTGTTTGTTTGTCGACTTTTGTTGGAGTCAATAATTGTCACACGTGTATCGGCCCCAACCCCAATACGTGGAGAAAATTTTTGGGAAATTGGATTAGATTTTTTTTGCCACCCCAATTCTCAGTCTCCCCGAAAAAGCAATTTTTGCTACCGCAATTTTTCAAAATATAAGGTCTCATTTTTATGGACACGAGCAGCGATAATAAATTGCCATCTGTTGTCGGGTTGGAAAAGTCAATATGGTTTGGAAACTTAAAGTGTTTTTGTGTAGGATAATTTTCATGGAAATCGAAGTGATGGAGTCGTATAAGGCTTGTGTTTTTCAAAATTAAACATAACAAAAAATATAAAGGGTGGAGAGAATGTTTATAGAGCAACTGGAAGGAGTCCATTCTGACAAGCTGGAGAGAGTGAATTTCTTTACATGTGCAATATGAAGTCGCTATAGACGGAGAGATGTCCGAAGTTCGTCTTTATAGGTCGGCTCTACAAACGAGCCGGAGCATAAGGAGTTCTTTATTATAGACAAGCCGGAGGAGTTTTCTCTATAGACGAGCTGTAGGTGGTGGAGTATAGAAGACCCAGGGTCTTCATTGTAGTATAGAAGACTTAGAGGTCTTCTACAGAGTCCAGACGACCTACAGGTCTTCTCTGAAGATCAAGTGGTCTTTTATGGAGAATGGAGACCTGGAGTATAGAAGAGTCTAGCAGAGTCAGAGGTCTCTATGGAGTCTAGAAGACCTAGATTTTTTCTATGAAGACCCAGAGCCGTCTATGGAGTGTAAAAATAGCAGATGACTTAGAGGTCGTCTATGGGGTGTAGGCCTAGAGGAGTAAAGAAAATCCGGAGGTCATCTATGGAGCATAGAGCAGCACGTAGTATCTATAGACGAGCCGTAGGAGGCCGTCTTCATAGACGACTAAGAGCCGAACTTATAAATCTTAGCAGACCTAGAAGTCTTTTATGGAGTGTAGAAGGCTTAAAGGTCTTCTATGGAGTGTAAAAGACCCAGGGGTCTTCTATCGAATATTGAAGATCAAGAGGTCTTTTATAGAGTATGGAAGACATAGAGGTCTTGAGGATTTTATAGGCTCGTTTAAAATCCTTAGACGAGCCATCCTTCAGTTCGTCGATAGAGACGTTCTTCAGCTCTCCTATAGAGAGTCCATTACCCTTCCTTCCTTCAGCTCGTCTATGGTGACGTCCTTTAGCCTTTCTTCTTCTAGTCTATGGTGACGTCCTTTAGCCTTCCTTCTTCTAGTCTATGGTGACGTCCTCCAGCCAGCCAGGCTGCAGCTCGTCTGTGGTGACGTCCTCCAGCCAGCCAGCCTTCAGCTCGTCTATGGTGACGTCCTCCAGCCAGCCAGGCTGCAGCTCGTCTATGGTGACGTCCTCCAGCCAGCCAGGTTGCAGCTCGTCTATGGTGACGTCCTCCAGCCAGCCTGCCTTCAGCTCGTCTATGGTGACGTCCTCCAGCCAGCCAGGCTGCAGCTCGTCTATGGTGACGTCCTCCAGCCAGCCAGGCTGCAGCTCGTCTATGGTGACGTCCTCCAGCCAGCCAGGCTGCAGCTCGTCTATGGTGACGTCCTCCAGCCAGCCAGGCTGCAGCTCGTCTATGGTGACGTCCTCCAGCCAGCCAGGCTGCAGCTCGTTTATGGTGACGTCCTCCAGCCAGCCAGGCTGCAGCTCGTCTATGGTGACGTCCTTCAGCCAGCCAGGCTGCAGCACGTCCAGGCTGCAGAGACTCCCTGGGCTCCAGCACGTCTATTGAGATTCCCTGAACTGCAGCTCGTCAATAGAGACTCCTTGAGACTCTCTGAGCTCCATCTCGTCCATAGAGACTGCCTGAGCGTCAGCTTGTCTATTGAGACTCCCTGCGCGTCAGCTCATGTATTGAGACTCTCTGGGCTTCAGTATATCTATTGAGACTCCAGCTCGTCTATTGAATCTCCCTGAGCTCCAGCTCGTCTATTGAGACTCCCTGAGCTCCAGCTCGTCTATTGAGACTCCCTGAGCGTCTGCTCGTCTATTGAGACTTCCCTAGCTCGTCTGTAAAGACTCCCTGTACATCAACTCGTCTATAAAGACTCCCTGAGCTTTAGCTCGTCTATTGAGAGGCCCTGAGCTTCAGCTCATCTATAGAGACTCCCTGGACATCAGCACCTCTATAGAGACTACCTTGACATCAAGTCCTCTGTAAAGGCTCCCTGGACATCAGCTCCATCAGTTCAAAGATTCCCTGGACACCAGCTCGTCTATAAAGACTCCCTGAGCTTTAGCTCGTCTGTAGAGACTGCTTGAGTTTCAGCTCGTCTATAGAGACTGCCTGAGCTTCAGCTCTTTTGAAGAGACTCCCTGAACTCCAAATCGTCTATGGATACTACCTGAGCTCCAGCTCGTCTGTGGAGACTCCCTGAGCTAAATTCGTTTTTAGAGATTTTCTCGAGCTCATCTATAGAAACTCCCTCGTATATAAATACAACCTATTAATCTGTCCTTACATCAACAGACAGACCTAGAAAATATCAAATAATCAATTCTTTTGATTACCAAATCTAATTCAAGTATAACCAAGTTTTCGTTGCATGTAAATATGTAAGTAGGTATGTGTGCCTGTACGTGGGAGTATTGATTGAATTATCTACACACACACATATCAGTGATTGTGACAAACAAAATTGGATTATACAAATATGTGTGTGTGTGTGTTTTCTCAACTCTCGATGGTGATGATGTTGAGCCGTTCGGTGAATTTTTCATCAATCAATCAGTCAGTCAGTCAATGCCATGACAGTTTGTCTTGTTTTTTTTTCCAGAGAAACAGAGTTCTGGCATGCCAACCTTTGTGGGTATTTAAGAGAGGCTTTCGTTAAATAAACATGAATATTAAATTTATGTTAAAAGTTGTACATATTTTTTCAACAATCCCCCAGAACACCAAAAACACAAAGAAGCAAATCCTTTGAGATTTGTCTTGTCTTCAGAGCAAAGTTAATTGATGGCATCTCTCGAATTGAAACATTGAAAACTTTTTGGCTGGAAACCCCAATGAATATTAAATCAAAGAATATTTCCTCGACATGAATCCATTTTGATAGACCATAGCCTGACTGATATTGACTGGATTTAATGGCAGCCTCAATTTGAGATTTGTTTAAAAAGTGTTATTTAAAATTCATTTCCCACAATGTAAAACAATTTTGGAAATCAACTTAACACATCATTATTTAAGGATCTGACAAATAGCGAAGACAAAAAAAAAGGCATTTGCGGTCTGTTCAATCATCATAGAAAACAATTTATTTCGAATAAAATAAACATGAATGTTTTTTTGGGAAAATAAATTGAATTTTAATCAGCCATCGTAAAAAATGAGGGAGGCAATAAACAACAGTGTTGTGTTGTTCTTTTGCCAAAAGGCCAATAAAACAATCGAAGTCGTAAAAGGATATTAAAATTTACAAAGAAGATGGAGCATTGAGGACTATGACATCAAGGACACGTCAAGGAAAAGACTATGAAAATAGCTATGCCCCTAGGCTGTCTAAGTGGGGCAGTTTGAGAGAGGAGTTGAAGTCAGAATGGCGACAGGGAGTCCTTGTAAGTAAGCAGGAGTCACCCTAGTGCTTTATTCTCTATAAACATGACCTGGAGCCTCGTCTATAAAGCCAGCCAGGCTGCAGCTCGTCTATAAAGACGAGTCCTTCAGCCAGCCAGGCTGCAGCTCGTCTATAAAGACGAGTCCTTCAGCCAGCCTGGCTGCAGCTCGTCTATAAAGACGAGTCCATCAGCCAGCCTGGCTGCAGCTTGTCTATAAAGAAGAGTCCTTCAGCCAGCCTGGCTGCAGCTCGTCTATAAAGACGAGTCCTTCAGCCAGCCTGGCTGCAGCTCGTCTGTAAAGACGAGTCCTTTAGCCAGCCTGGCTGCAGCTCGTCTGTAAAGACGAGTCCTTTATATAAAGACGAGTCCTTCAGCCAGCCTGGCTGCAGCTTGTCTATAAAGACGAGTCCTTCAGCCAGCCTGGCTGCAGCTCGTCTATAAAGACGAGTCCTTCAGCCGGGCTGGCTGCAGCTCGTCTATAAGGACGAGTCCTTCAGCCGGGCTGGCTGCAGCTCGTCTATAAGGACGAGTCCTTCAGCCGGGCTGGCTGCAGCTCGTCTATAAGGACGAGTCCTTCAGCCGGGCTGGCTGCAGCTCGTCTATAAGGACGAGTCCTTCAGCCGGGCTGGCTGCAGCTCGTCTATAAGGACGAGTCCTTCAGCCAGCCTGGCTGCAGCTCGTCTATAAGAACGAGTCCTTCAGCCGGGCTGGCTGCAGCTCGTCTATAAGAACGAGTCCTTCAGCCGGGCTGGCTGCAGCTCGTCTATAAGGACGAGTCCTTCAGCCAGCCTGGCTGCAGCTCGTCTATAAGAACGAGTCCTTCAGCCAGCCTGGCTGCAGCTCGTCTATAAGAACGAGTCCTTCAGCCAGCCTGGCTGCAGCTCGTCTATAAGAACGAGTCCTTCAGCCGGGCTGGCTGCAGCTCGTCTATAAGGACGAGTCCTTCAGCCAGCCTGGCTGCAGCTCGTCTATACAGACGTGTCCTTCAGCCAGCCTGGCTGCAGCTCGTCTATGAAGACGAGTCCTTCAGCCAGCCTGTCTGCAGCTCGTCTATGAAGACGAGTCCTTCAGCCAGCCTGGCTGCAGCTCGTCTATGAAGACGAGTCCTTCAGCCAGCCTGGCTGCAGCTCGTCTATGAAGACGAGTCCTTCATCCTGAGCGAAGTTTCAACTCGTCTGTAGAGACGACCTCGGGCTCTTCTATAAGGACGAGTTCCGCCTCGTTTACAAAGACCACTTGCAGTTTGTCAATAAAAATAAAAAACAATTTTGCCCAGAGTACCGTGGCATAACAAAGGTGTCTGCAGTAAAAGTTGAAGGGGATGTAAGCATGATTATGCCCCTGTAGATATGCAACATAATTGATCTAGAAACGGAAAAGAAATTGGGATACCTCCACACCTATACCATGACAAAACGCTGTCCCGACTATAATAAAATACACCATTCAGTCAACCTGGCTCAAGAAGTCTCTATAGACGAGCTGGAGGGAATCGGCACACGGAGAAGCTGGGTGATGTCTCTTTAGATGAGCTGTTGCCAGGTAATCTTATAGATGACATGAAGGGCGTCTACGTAAGCGTCCTGGCTTGGGAAGTTACGGTATGAAAAAATATGAATTTTTTAAAGTATTTTTTTTCAAGGACCCAAGACCAA